ACTATATATTTTTAAATGATAATAATAATGAAATATAGTCGCATATATTGAAAAAATCACATAAGATATACTTTAAAAATATCATATAAAAAAAGATAATCTTCAAAACAACATACCCTCTTGTCCCACAATAAACTCGAATTAAATAGAACTCGGATTTCTCCACCAAAACCCGCACCCAAAAAAAAAAAAAAAAAAAAAAGAAGTTATAAATCTAACTTCCTAAAACTCTGAATGGGGGGTTTCTGATTCAGCGTGGACACAGTTTGTTCATCCAGTTCATACCCCCAAAATCTTGTGTGTATATGTATATATATATATATATTATTGTGTAAAATTCCAAATTACAGGTGATCGTCATATTATTTAGTGGTTATACTATCTAGCGATCAAGTTACTCAAAAAGTATTACAAAAATTGTTAAATTTTCAAAAGAGAAGGCTCTAAATTGTATTAGTACCCATTATAAAGATATAACTTGCAAACTCTTTATTTTTTCTTTTTTGATGCTGAGAGAGAGAGATATATATATAAATATATATATGTTTGACTGGTCAATATTTGTTCTTACATAAAATGTAAACAACTGAAAGAAAATTACTTCTTAGCAAATTCTTAAGAACACCATAGAAGAACACAGTACTTAAATTATAATAGCACTCAGTGTTTTTCAAAGACCGGTTTTGTCAACTGTCTTATGGATAAAAATAGTTTTTTTTTTTTTTTTTTTGAATAAATAAGAAAACGCATGATTAGATATAGACATAAGTTTTTTTGTTTATTTCCATTATTTCTTTAAAAGGGCAGAATCTGCTGATGAATCACACTTATGTTGACAGAACAAGGAAAGAAAAAATCAAGAGGCAAAGAAATCTCAGCCATCACTACCCCATTCAAATAAATGTGGTGGTTCCCAATTACTACAAACATCGACTTGACCCTCACCACATGAAACACGTCCAATCTTTTTCTCACTTCATCACATGTTCGCCCCATGGAACCCTCTCAATCTCTTTCTCACTGCATCACAACATCTTCAATCTCTACATCGTGTGTTTATTACGGGCAATATTATAGAAATAAAATTATAATCACAGTAGGGACTAGGTCTCTCTTAATATACTATATAATAAGACTTCTATTAACAACTAAATTCACCTAAATACTTAACTCATTAGTATACGATTATATTGAAATACGAGTCAAACATATATAGAAAGACCATTCAAAAACTACGGATTTTCTAAATATTATAATTACGACTGGCCAAAAAATCCAAACTAACATTTCTTATTTCTAATTAAAACAAAAGCTGCATATGTTAAGATATAAAAATTAAATAATTTGTTCAAATTAATAGCTAATACTTCTAATCCTATAAACTAACTTTAACCAAATACTTCTAATCCTCGTACAAATTTAAACTAGTACATCTCTTATCATAAGAGTAAAAAATAATATACCACAGCAGACTTGATTAAATTAGGCTTTTTGCATACAGAGCAAAATTAAGCATTAAGCAAGATATAACTAGAACGATCGCTTAGAATACAAGCTTCTAATGTTTATTGTTTTCTTTTTTCACTTACACCAGACCAGCAAAATTTCAGCAAGACAAGAAATTGTAGAAGAGAAGCAACAGAATTCATGTCAAAATGACCTCTTTGTATGCAAGCTCTAATTCCAAAGACAATCTCTAGACTATTTTGCTCGGGTTCCATTCAAACTGCAATGTTCGACGCTCATGTTATAACACCATAAAATGATCATGCTAAGCATTTTTTCTCTTTCAATTTATAATCTTCAAAAACCCTAACCTGCACCTCTTAATGATCACACCATAAGGCCTTGTGAAGGAGCAGCTGCAGGAGTCTTCGCCTTCGACTTCTCCACAACAATAGCCTGAGTGGTCAAGACCATCCCTGCAACTGATGCTGCATTTTGCAGCGCACATCTTGTTACCTTTGCTGGGTCAATAACTCCAGCATCCACCAGGTTCTCATATTTGTCTGTCATGGCATTGTAACCGATTTCCCACTCCGCATCCTTCACCTTCTCTACAACCACCTCTCCTTCAACTCCAGCATTTTGAGCTATTAATGAGGCTGGAGCTAACAGTGCCTGCAAATAAACAAGTTAAACTAACATTGTTAAATAAGGAAATTTTTCAACAGTTGTAAATGGCAAATGCTGAAAAACAATTACCTTCTGCACAATGTCAGCACCTAGTCGTTCATCTGCATCTTCAAGCTTGTCCTTAATTGTGGGAACATATGTTGAGAGATGAACCAAGGCGGCACCACCACCAGGGACAATGCCTTCTTCAATGGCAGCAAATGTTGCATTTTTTGCATCCTCAATACGTAGTTTGCGGTCTTCAAGCTCCGTCTCCGTAGCAGCCCCTACTTTGATAACAGCAACACCACCAGACAATTTCGCAATTCTCTCAGCAAGTTTCTCTGAGTCATACACAGAATCAGTCTCAGAGAGCTCTTTCTTTAATTGCGCTACCCTGGCTTGTAACTCGTCCTTTGATGCAGCATCAGCAATAAGGGTGGTAGAGTCTTTGGCAATGGTCACCTTTCTGGCAATACCAAGCTGCTCAATTGAGGTGTTCTCCACAAGCAAGCCCAGATCACTAGCTTGGAACTCGGCTCCTAAAGCATGTGCAGCATAAAAATTAGCACCATGTATAAAGATCAATGCAAATAACGAACTGCGATTTGGTCACAGCCTCCGAAACACAAAAGTGAGTATCAGCTTCAATCCAAGTGAGCTACCCTCACCAGAATCGACATGTATGCTTTACTCTGCACATCGACTTCAAACTCATTGCAACAGGCTAAGGAAGGTTTTTAATTTAGCACTCTCTTTTCACTTAATTCAATCACTAACCAGGAACACAATGATCTCCAAAGCTCAGTGATATATTCCAAAGATTACATGCTACATTAAAAATACGCCTATTAATCACAGGGGAGAGTTAATTGGGAATTTTCTTATTGCCTGATGCATTCCATTGGTTGCTAAGAGGACATGTTCCCTAATAACATTATAGTCAGTAAGTGAGGCACTGGTATTCCTCAACGTAATGGGACAGCATCCATCATCGGTTTATGTTCAGAAAGGACAATCTTCTCCATCTCTTACAGAGCAAGAGCTCCCAAGAAAAATACCATGAAGAGTAATTAAAGGACTAAAAAAAATGGCAAAGAACAAAGGAAAACAAATATGATTCTTCGCCAGTTCAATTTTGCATACCAGTCAAAATTGCAATGTCCTGAAGCAGAGCCTTCCTCCTCTCACCGAAACCTGGAGCTTTTATAGCAGCAACGTTAAGGATACCCCGAAGCTTGTTGACAACAAGAGTAGCCAGAGCTTCTCCAGTAACATCCTCAGCAATTATGAGTAAAGGAGCTGACAACTGAGTGGTCTTTTCTAGTAGGGGAATTATATCCTTTATTGCTGAAATTTTTTGATCTGTTACCAATACCCTAGCATTCTCAAATTCACAAATCAATTTCTCGGGGTTTGTAACAAATTGAGGGGAGATGTAGCCTCTGTCAATCTGCACAACCAAAAAAAAGCCCACTCATTTGAACCAGTAAAAAGATAATCTGCACCTTTATTTTGGAAAAAGAAGGTTCCAACTTAAGTAGAAAAGTACAGACCTCCATTCCTTCCTCAACCTCAACTGTTGTCTCAAACGAGGATGATGATTCAATAGACAAAACACCATCAGGCCCAACCTTGTCAATGGCATCAGCAATCATTGTCCCGATAAGCTCGTCATTTCCAGCAGAGATGGATGCAACAGCTACAATACAAGATTAATGTACATACTATCAAAATAAAGGAAAACAGATGGAGCCAATGCAGTGTACCATTAGAGTTACAATGAAAAGAGTCCAGTACCTTTGATAACATCACGACCTTTCACGGGTCGAGCTTTCTTCTCTAGTTCTTCAACCAACTTTTGCACTGTTTTATCAATCCCCCTCTTTAATGAAACAGGATTTGCACCGGAAGTGACACTCAGAAGTCCTAGTTTAATTATTTCACGTGCAAGAACTGATGCAGTTGTTGTTCCATCACCAGCAGAGTCATTAGTTTTACTAGCAACCTTCATTGCAGAGAGAGAACAAATGAGTGCATTGGAACACAACCGACATAACATCATGGACGAAAAAGCAGCAAACCACCATCAGAAGTCTGTGGAAAAGTTAACGTATTTTCAAGGAGAAAGACAATTCAATATTACACCCACCTCCCTAATAAGGGCTGCACCTGCATTTTCCATGGCATCAGGCAGCTCGATAGCTCGTGCAATTGTAACTCCATCATTAACTACTTTAGGACTTCCAAATTCATCCAAAACAACATTCCTCCCTTCAGCATACACAAGATATTAGTATTTAGTACATCTCCAAAGTCAAATGCATCTTATGAAGTAATTTGCTTTTTACGTAATATGTGACCAAGTAGTAAGGAGAACAAACAGGAAAACTATTATCCTCTCTTTCTTTCCTTCAACGTTTTACTGAAATAATAGAGTGCAGCAAGAATTTACCCCTAGGCCCTAGAGTGAGACCAACTGCATCTGCAAGCTTATCAATTCCAGACTGAAGTGCAGACCTTGAGCTCTGGTCAAAGGCAATTTCCTTTGCATTAGCTCTCACCGAAAACCGGCTGCTTGATTGCCTGTAATTCAGCCTTTGGCTGTACTTTTGATTTCCTCTCCTCAAACCTCTCTACATCATCAAGAAACATTTCGAACAGCCACACCAATAAAAAAACATAGAAAGAAACAAATGCACGAGAAAGTCATCAGCCGCATATGCACTAAGCAAACATAAAAGGAAACAAATATGCGAGCGGCCATCAACCACATACGCTTGCCTAAATCAACATTAACCAGCAAAAAACAGTAAGATGTAATATTTGAAATCGACACAGTAATAAAAAACCAAAAAGGAATGATACATCCTGTCCATAAATGTAACAAACAAGCTCCATATATGTTAAAATTCACGCGCATTTCTGTTCCTTTCTACCATTTCGCTTACCCCACCCAGATTCACGAAAATAAAATATTCAGAACTATCCGTAGCCAGAGAATATTATATGAAACAATCAAATTCTCACACCTTAAACCATATCTATGCCCTCTCACTGGTAAAAGGAGAAACGCAGCTCAATGGAACTAAAAATTATAATCTAGCGTCACAAAAATGCACAGGGATCAAACATGCATAAATTTCTAGCATATTCCCAGTAAACAAACGAAAACTAAATTGTACACAGGGCAAGCTGATACCTGTCTAGGAGCGGATATAATCGAAGCTGATGTGAATGCATTAGCAGACGCCATTTCCTTCTCTAAGCTTTTTGAGCGAGATGATAGTGTCCTGCTATGGATAAGGAGGTCGGTAATGCAACAACGAGGAAATGTCTGGGGTTAGGGTTTAGTATTTTAGGAAGCTGGAGAGGCTTCCAGAAGATTCTGGCTATTGGGGGAACCGTTGAGCCCCCTCGTTTGGGCCTTGTTTGTTTCCGGCCCAAACACAACTGCAATATTTGCAATATAAATTCATTATTATATATTTTATTATAAATTATTAGATTAATTTTAATAATTTATCATAAATTTTTCTTTCAATTTAATTGGTAATATTATTTATTTATTTAATTAAATGATTTTTATGATTTTTGTTTTAATAAAAAACTAAATTAATAAGATTATATTTTAATATTTTAAAAAAGAGTCAAAAAATAACATCAATTAATAAATTAAAAATATGAATTATCTATTTAATTGATTTATTAATTTAATTAATTAATTAAATTATTTATTGAGTTATTTTTAAAATGTTTAAATACGAATTGTTATTTTTTATTAAAAATTAAAGAAAAATAAGAGTTTAAAATAAAAAAATATTAAAAATTAAATTATAATAAAAAATTATTATAAACTAAATTATAATATCGAACAATAAATTTTAACTAATAAATTATATTATAATATCAGAATTCAACACGATTAACCCCTTTTATGGTAATTATCTCACGTACTTCGAACTCGCGAGGACTCTGCTGTGTGGGCGCTACCAGAAGGCAAAGCGGCGGTCACCAATACGTCGAGTCGTGCAGCAGCTGCTCTGCAGGTACCACGCGAAAGTGCAGCTTCTTCATCTCTTCTTAGTTATTATTACGTTTAGTTTTTCAGTGTATTCATCGACCATCAGTTAGGTTAATTTGCAGATCTTGTTTTTCTTTGTTCATGGATGAGGGTTTTATCGTTATGTGATATAAATATTATTAGCAACAACAAAAATACATAGAGATACGTCAGAAGAAACAGAATCGGAAGTATTATTAGAGAGGAGAGAAGAGATTAGAAGCTAAACAAAGATAACCTAAGAGTAGTTAGTTTATTGTCCATAGTCTTACCGTAGACAATTTTGACTTCTTAATCCTATTTCTTCTACCAAATTAGGAATCCAATCTCCAATTTCTGACGTATGTTTATGTATTTTTGTTGCTTCAGCTTTGCATAAGGAGTTTGCAATAACCAGTAGAAGTGTTCAAGGGATAAATTATCTCCATGGCTAAAAAACGACTTGAGAAGAAATTGTTTAATGTAAAAAAAAACGATGGTGAAGAAGGCAATGCATTGGAAGAGAATGATTGCGACAATGCATTACACATAAGAGCGAAAGATGTTGAATTAAGCCGTAAAGATGAAAAGAAGAGAAGTAAGAAAAGACATTTGGCAAATTCTATTGTTGTTGAACGGGGTGCCATTAAAAATGAGGCTGAGGAGAAAGGAACAGAAAGGAACAATGCATTGCCTATAAGAGCAAAAGATGTTGAATTAAGCAATAAAGATGAGAAGAAGAAAAGTAAGAAAAGCCATTTGGTAAATTCTATTGATATAGAACTGGGTGCCACTCAAATTGAGGCTGAGGAGAAAGGAACAAAAAGGAAGAAGAAAAAGGTTGAGAGTGATATACTTGAGTTGGAAGCAAAAAGAGATGGGAAACGAAGACACAAGGAGAAGAATAAAGATGGAAGTATTGATAATCCATCTATGATCCAGGAAATCAACGATAAACTTGAAACTATAATTAAGGATCAACAAATTCCTGGGAGGGAAGAAGCTACTGAAATGCTGCATAGAGAAGAGGGTAATAAGAGTAATAGGAAGGAAAAGAAGCAGAAGAGGCAAAAGGAAGGTGGTGTTGCCACAATGATGGACAATATAACTGATGAAAATGATGGCATGGAGCATCTTGATGATAAGGCCCTTGAGAAGGTGAAGTCCAAGAAGGATGAGAAGAAAAAGAAGCAGCAGCAAAATGATGATTTGGGGGCTAGGAGAGAAGGTAATAAAGGTGCAAATGATGATAAAGACTGCATGGGCAGTGGTGGCAGTGAGGCAAAGGGTGGAAACATTGAATTTTCGTCTGTTAACGCAGAAGATGTAAAAAAGGACAAGAAGAAGAAGAAGGTGAAGCTAGCGGAAAGTGGTACAGAGGAGAAAGGTCATAAAGCAGGGAAAAGAGGCAAAAGAAGTGTGAAGACTTCTGTTCCATCTGAAAATCCTATGCCTAACAAGAGGTCCAAAAAAGTCAGCTTTTCTGATCATGTGGAGGTTTTTCCTTCTTCCGATGACGACGGCAATGGAAATGTCAACCAGGAAGATGGATTGGTGCGTGGAAAGCGATTCTCAAAAGAAGAAGATGAGATACTTAAAGAGGCTGTTTCCAAATACATAGAAGCTCATGGTTTAGGTGAAGAAGGGATAGAGATGATTATGCGCTGTTCGTCTTACCCAGAAACTAAAAATTGTTGGAAGGAAATAGGGGCGGCCTTACCTTGGAGGCCAAAAGAAAGTGTCTATTATCGGGCCCACATTTTATTTGAAAGGGATGAGAAGCGCTCATGGACTGCAGAGGAGTATGAACTTATCCGTAGGTTTCATGAAAAACATGGATCAGATTGGAGAACATTGGGTGATGCACTTGGCAAGCATAGGATTCATGTTAAAGATACATGGCGGAGAATAAAATTGCCCAGTATGAAGAAAGGCCAGTGGTCCCAAGAGGAGTATCAATCTCTATTTGATTTGGTGAACATGGATTTGCGTATGAAGTCTCTTGAAGAAAAAAAAAGCAAGCATGGAATGCTGCGGGATAATATCTGTTGGGAGGCAATTAGTCAAAAATTGGAAACCAGAAGTAATTCAACCTGCTGCAGGAAATGGTATTATCAGTTAACATCTCCAATGGTAGCCGAAGGTAAATGGGTTGATGCCGATGATTACCGTTTGTTGGATGCACTTTTAAATTTGGATGCTTGCTGCATTGAAGATGTGGAGTGGGCCAATCTTTTGGAGCATAGGACTGGAGATATATGTAGAAAGAGATGGGACCAAATGCATCGACATATAGGCGAGCTTGGGGTCAAGACATTTCCTGAACAAGTTGAGATTCTTTCAAAGCGATACTGTCCTGACTTGCTTGAGGCAAGAGAGGCCTACGATAATAGACCTACAGTTCCATGAGTCCACTGTCCTATCCGGCTGTTAATGCTAGATTGTTATATGTAGAAGTTGAGCTTGCTATTTCAATTTGCAGAACAATAGCAATGCTTATGTGAGGATATTTTTGAGTAATCTTAAGATTGGGGTCATGGATCTGGTTTCAGCTCCCTGGTTTTTATGTAATCTACAGAATTACAGTGACTGGTTCTTAAATGTCTTTTATAAGGATTCAGTTGTTTAAATGTTAAAAAAGAAAATGCTTCATCAGGCTCGTTTTTCTTTGTTTTGGTTTTTTTTTTCTAATACTATACGTCATTTAAGTGGCAGATGATGACTATATACTTGGAGCTATGTAATGTTATGAAATCTTGACGTACGTAATATTGGTTAGTTATTTACCTGCCATTTCTGCCGTCTGTAGTTGTTTTATGTATAGTGCTAGTGGCCTTCCAGACTCCTCGTTTTCCATTGAGAAACAAAGAAGAAATACCAACACCAGATAATTAGGAGAAACTCCTTCAAGGAAAATCAGGAGAAACTTTTCCACTTTATCCCTGCTTTTTCTCTGATGTATTGATGCTCTATCAGCTAGCCCGGAGTGTATCAGCTAGAATTAGCTTCTCATCAAGCACTGTGGGTATTGATTTTTTTTTTCCTTCTCTTGCAAGTATTGCTAGGTTGCGGCATTTTGTAGGATCACTTTCTCTATTAGCCAAGCAGTTGAATTTCTGTTCCAAGTAGTATAACTAGCTTAGAGAAGTAGCCTTTCTCTCTGGCGCGGCTTGTTAATATTCTTTGGAACAAGTGCCACATAAGTTATAAAGCAGGCATCTAAAATTGGTAGGGATGATTCTCCTGTTTATACTTACTGGTAAATTCTGTTCAAACCTCAAGTAGATTTAAGTTAGCTATTTGTAGGCATATATGATGTTTCTTTTGCTTTAATAATAAGTGGTACTATGGACCTGGTCCTTACGTTGTGATCCAGTTCATCTTGTTACAAATACAATGGTTTTTATGTGTTGTCTTATGTGTACAAGAAAACTTTTTTTTTCTTACTGCCGATGCAAGTTCTACAACTGAACTTTCAGACCAGTATTTTAATAACTTCTTATTAATAGAATGGTTGTTCGTGTATGAAGATTCCTATTAAGAGGACTGGTTTGTGGTGATGCACTCACGAATATCAGGGTTTGTGATTTAATCTAAAAGCTGGAAAATTGGCCATGCAGCATGTGGGGTTTAAATGTTATATTTAAGTTTTTGTTCAGCAAGCATTTTGTTGTATAAGTTGCATTGTGTTAATGCTTCAATAAAATCAAGTAATAGGGGAGGTTAAGATTGGTAAAAAGAGCTTTTGAGCCTTTCACAGGGAAAAAGGATTTAACTTTCCCTTGCTTGTTTCTGAATTAGCAACACTTGATACTATGTTGGATGAAAGGGTACCGAGGTTTTGTTGACACACTAGACTGTCAATTAATGATATAGTCTAACACATACAAGTTCATCTTCACTGCAGGTGATTGTTAGAATTGTCATGGCTGAACAGAAGCATAGAATCCTGATGGTGTCTGATTTTTTCTTTCCCAACTTTGGTGGCGTGGAGAATCACATTTACTTGCTGTCACAGTGCTTGTTAAAGCTTGGTCATAAGGTCAGGGAACATCTTGCTTGTTGGCCTTGTGTGTCTGTTTACATTAGTAAAGACAGTGAGGAAACTGGAGATTTTTGGAATGGGACCTTCCTCTTGGGGAAAGTAACGTAGAGTAGAAACTAAGAGAGAAGTTCAATGGAACATTGGCTTTTTCTGCGTAAACTTCTCTCCTAGGATATGTTTGGAATAAATTTAGAATTTATGTGAAATTCATTTGCAGATTTACACTTATACTAACTATGAGAAACATAAATTCTATTAGAAGATAATGAAAGTTAAGTTCCCATAAAACTTTATGAACTAGAACAATGCATTCTAAATCTGATCAAATTTAATAGAATTTGAGATGCACCGTCCCAATTCTATATGAATTTTATGAATTTAACTTTTTATTATTTTAAATAGGGCTTCAATAAAATTTTTAATTGAAAAATATGAATTTGTAAACAAATCTTTGTACAAATTTTGAATTTGTTCCAAGTATAACCTTAATTTGGAATTATATAAGGTTAGTTTTGCCTCCCCTACAACTACTCACACTCCCACCAACCCCATGAACCAAAGAGGTTCTGAAGTTTCTTTTTCCTCTTCTTCCAATATTATTCAGGTTTGTCCATTCTTACGTGGTACATCATTGAGATTGCTGTATGACATCCTCTTCCATCTGTCCTCTGTTGATCTCTCTTGATATTTTTTATTGGTGATTGTTTTGTAGTGTATTAATGTGAATGACATTAGATTTTGTCATACTTATGTGATAAACATATTATCTCCAACTTTCTTATTGTTTCTATGGTTTATGTGAATCATGCAGGTTGTAATTATGACTCATGCATATGGAAATCGCTCCGGAGTGAGGTATATGACTGGTGGGCTCAAAGTTTATTATGTACCATGGAAACCATATTTACTCAACACCACAATCCCAACCCTTTATGGAACACTTCCAATTGTAAGAAACATCCTTATTCGAGAAAATATTTCACTGGTGCATGGGCATCAAGCCTTTTCAACTCTTTGTCACGAAGCTGCAATGCATGCACGCATTATGGGATACAAAGTCGTATTCACTGATCATTCACTATATGGTTTCGCTGATGTGGGAAGCATCCACATGAACAAGGTTTTGCAGTTTACTTTAGCCGATGTAAGCCAGGCAATTTGTGTTTCCCATACAAGCAAGGAAAACACAGTGCTAAGATCAGGTTTGCCGCCAGAGAAGGTTTTTGTAATACCTAATGCCGTGGACACTGCTATGTTTCAGCCTGCCCCTATTCGACCAGGCAATGATGAAATCATTATTGTCGTCATAAGTAGATTGGTTTATCGCAAAGGTACAGATTTGCTTGTTGAAGTTATTCCAGAAGTATGCCATTTGGATCCCAATGTGAGTTGTTACTACCACTACCTTATTATTTCTCTATATACCCTTCTTTTATTATATTTCAAGGTGCAAGATTTGGTTCGGGCTATACTTGTTTCTGTTTTGCTCATCATAAAGTGTTTGTTTGTTGAGCTTCAGTTTTCGCTGCGGGGGTAACCAATTGAAGCAAAAACAACATATAAAATATGTTTTTTTTTTCTTTTACAGGAATAGTTAGCATTTGGTAAGAATTATTTCATAGTGCTGTAACACAAATTTAAGAATATGTCTTTTTTTTCATGGAGTAGGCTAGGTGAGAAAATATGAGAGAAGAACAAGTCACTTTGCATTAGAAGAAAAGCTAAGAAAATTTTATTTGGTGCTTTTATCTTGTTAAAAGCTAAAGCACTTATCAATTTAGAAATTGTAATATGTGATACTTTCATGTTTGGTTGAGCTTTTCGAATGCTGTTAAAAATCACTGCAGACGTGAATAGAAAAGGCTCAACCAACAAGTTTTTTTTTTTTTTAACTCCTTGATAAGTTACTTACCAAATTGCCAACTAAAATTAGTTGCCAGCTGCACTTTGCTTTTCTATTGCATCCTCCCTGTTCTAGTTACATCTAAATGTACTTTGTTGCAATAATTTTTATATCAATCAGCATTGTGGTGGAAAAGGCTCTATGTAAAGTCAAACTCTGTCCTCTCCTTATTAGGCATGGAATATCTTTCCTCTCTATAGTATATATCTAGTGTGAGACCTCCAATTCAGCTGTATAGACACGCTATGAAAAAGGTGTTTGCTAGTTTGCAAAAAATGCAGCATTTAAATTCTGAGTCTCTTTTATAAGGTATTTTAATACTTGGTCATCTTATTTGGAAGTGCTTCTTAAGGTTCGTTTCATTATTGGAGGAGATGGACCTAAACGTGTGCGGCTCGAAGAGATGAGAGAGAAGCATTCTCTTCAAGACCGAGTTAAGATGTTAGGTGCTGTGCCACATGCTCATGTACGGTCTGTTCTGATTTCTGGCCATATATTTCTGAACAGGTAAATAGGTATGTTCTAATCTTTAATTTTTCTAACTACCTTTTAGTGGTTTGACAAGCACTAGAAGATGATAAATCTCCTGGAAAAGGAAGAATTAAAAATTAGATTCATAGAAAAAGAAAGTTAGTCTTTTCTATATCATCCGCAAAGCAGAGGTGGCCAGCTATCATCTTGACAATATTCTCTGTTAATATATTCAAACAATGGAGGCACGAGAAATGGGATATTTCTCTGGGTATTAAGCAACTCTCTTGATGTTTTGCACGGTATCAATTTGCCGGAAATAGTTCCTCATAGAAACAAAAGTTTTGGAAATAGATACCAGTTGTACATTTGTCCTTAGATAAGATATTTGACTAAATTGGCACTGTTATTTGTCAGAATCTGCCAGAGCAACATTTCGTTGCTTATAAAATTATGTAATATTGAAAAGAGTAATGCAAATAAAATTGGACGAATTCTGGAAGAACATGATTCAATAGTTAAACAAATCGCATACCTTTAGGTACAAGCAAACATACAACATAATATATGAAATCTTAAATGTTCAACATAATATATGTATGAAGATTGTGCGTGATTGTCTTTTAACTTTTACCTTTGAACCTCTTGCAGTTCTTTAACAGAAGCATTTTGCATAGCCATATTGGAGGCTGCTAGTTGTGGATTACTAACTGTTAGTACACGTGTGGGAGGTGTCCCGGAGGCATGTACCTTTATTTGGTATCTCTTTATTTTCCAAAGTTGGTTGGTGATCATGGTGTTTCATGGATTTCACCTTGCAGTATTTACTTCATGGAAATCCTTCATTTTCAGCTTATTTTTTTCCCTTCTGCTGATTATAGGTTCTGCCAGATGACATGATTGTACTTGCTGAGCCAGATCCTACCGATATGGTAAAAGCAATTAGGAAAGCCATATCTATACTTCCCACTATTGATCCTGTCGATATGCACAATCGTGTGAGTTAGATTTAAATTTGAGCTTTTCAAACATGGACGATGCTTGTCCAGTGACATTATTTGCTTGTTTACTTACGATCAGATGAAAAAACTTTACAACTGGCATGATGTTGCCAAGAGGACAGAGATTGTGTATGGCCGGGCTATGAGATGTTCTAATCAAACTCTGCTAGAACGTCTGCAAAGGTATGTTACAAAAATTTTATCAATGAAATAATGGTTATGAGATGTCAGGGACAACAAATCCGTGGTGATCATTTATGGGGTATGAATTTTTAGTTTTTGGAGATTCTTCATGTAATCCTGACTTGAAAATATGCAATTGCAAGAATATATTGTTTATGCTGTTTCTGAAAGTTCTGTTTACAACCAGCAATGATAATCTTTTTGTTTAACCTTGCAACCAATTGCCATGATCTTTAATTATACTTCTTTGCATTATTTCGGGTGGTGTAAGGAGCAGAGGGTGCTGTGGGGAGAGGGATTTTTGAGGGGCCTTTGTCCTTTGATTGAAATGGAAGACTTGAATTTTTAATCAAACGTCTAAGAAACTCTCATCCTTCAGGGCAGATTGTTGTACCACTCTTGCTTGCTTCCATTGGGGCTAGGGCCCGTGATTTTCTCAGGAAGGTTTTGTTCACACAAAGGGATTGGGATTTCTTGTTCTGCTTGAGTGTACCCTGTTTCTCCCCATATAGTTTGTAATTCATTCTCCCTTTCAAATAACATTTCATTTTCTTTTTTCTTTTCTTTATTAAAAGAAGAAATATAATTAAAAAAGAGCGTTTTTGCGATCAAGAATAGGTAGTGGTCCAGAGTTGAAGCTCGACAGCGGTTATGCAACCATATCAACTGCTGGCGAGCCAATTTTTTCAAAAATTTTAGCAGAGAAAAAATAATGTGATCTATTAAAAGAAGAAATATAATTAGAAAAGAGCGTTTTTACGATCAAGAATAGGTAGTGGTCCAGAGTTGAAGCTCGACAGCGGTTATGCAACCATATCAACTACTGACGAGCCAATTTTTTCAAAAATTTTAGCAGAGAAAAAATAATGTGATCTATTATTTATATGTTAAGACATTCCATCATATGTAACGAAGATTTTTTTTAAAATAAATTCATTTATTCGTTGATGCTATGTGAAATAATATAGCTAAACTGATTTAAAATATTTGACCATAATCAATTATTTAACATGATATCATAGTCAAAGGTATAGTGTTTCGAGCTATTGCTCGATTTCTATTAATCAGCATTGCAGCACAAGATAGGATAAGCTTGTGTTTTGATTGATACTTTCAGCCTCTTGAACCTTGCATATGAGGGGTAAGTTTAGTAATAGATTGAACTATTTCTTATCAGTTCAAACTTTAGAAAAATTGGTTCAATCCTACTATTTGACATAAAAATAACTCTTATTTGCATTTCTCATTGTCTCTCTCTTCTTTCTTATACTACTCAGAATGGCCCATTTGGTTGGAAGCCGCTTATGGCTTGCTATCTTGCTCCCATGTTTTTCCTCTGAAGATTTTGCTTTGATTATATATTTTTATGTGTTTAATTAATTTTTATTTTCCTTCTTTTAGTCAGTTTTAGGACTCCAAGAAAAAAGTTGTAACTTCTTCTTCACTTGCATGTCAATTGAGTTGCCAGTTAGCCAGCTATTTTAATATTTGTTACTTGAATGGATTGAGTTAACTCGGACCTTTGTTAAATAAGACTTGTAAACCTGTTTCTAATGATGTCCAGAACTTAAGAACTCAGGTCTATTTCCCAAAATATAATCATTACCGGAAACGTGGGGTTGTACAATGAGGAAAATTCTATTGGTTTCTGTTTTTGAAGGACATACTTAGCCCTTATTGAGAAGAAACCAGGGTCTTTCCACCCACTATAAGCTGCTGTTTTGGAATCTAGCCTTTGATTGGTCTGTATTTCAAGGTGATTACAAATGCATGCATATATGGATAAGAATAAATATATACTTCTACCTCATTATTTCGTTGCTGAAGTGGAATTTTTTTGTCATTTTAGCAGTCTCTTGCATTTCCTGCATTATTGGCAGAAAATTTTATAACTTGCATTTCCATCGACAGTGGTTTTAAGTATAGGCTGTTTCCTGATAGCTGACATCATATTTCGTTTCTAGGTACCTCTCATGTGGTGCTTGGGCTGGCAAACTCTTTTGTTTGGTTATGATTATCGATTTTCTGTTTTGGCGTTTCCTCGAACTATGGCAGGTGGTTTAGTACTTCCTATATTTTCTATATTTAGCCTGAGCCTTGGCATGTTTTCTTGCTATTTATCCATTTGAGCATCTTGCACCAGCCTGCAGAAGATATTGAGGAGGTGCCAGACCTGATTCTTCCTCATCACGAAGACGGAGACGTGTTACGTGATTTCAACAAAAACAAAGCTTGACAACTTTCTTGCGTATAGAAGGAAAATTTATATCCTAACTTCAACACAGAGTTACTTGATGACTGCAATGAATGGTAAATCTATACTGCTTGTCTCCGCCTTTAGAAAGTTTGTTCAGAGTACTCCTGGGTTATGATTAAAGTAGACAAGAATGTGCAGTAAATATCTTTTTTAATCGACTCCAGTAGGTAGGATACAGTAAATAGTTGAAATCAAACTGACATTATTAAGATTGAAAAACATTATTATAAGTTTGAGCTCCCAATGTTAACAAGGCGTATAGTTTCCGGCAAACTTGAATCTCAAACCTCAAAAGATGTTGAGGTAGGAGTGACCAATTAGCTTAAAGGCTATTGTGGGACTATTAGAAGTTGAAAAGGGGATATAATGCCCCCAAACAAGAACTTGGGGCTACAACATTCAGTGAATAGCAGATTTACTTTATTATATATATACACATAAACACATATTCTAAAGTCTCTGTTTTTAAGGAGCAATGCAGAAGCTACTGAGTGTTCTCATATATTCTATTGATGTTGGGATTGTTTAGTCTTACAGCTTTCAAAATCTGGCAGTTATTTTTGAGATGCTGTCTGAGTTATACATACTATTTTATCTTTTCTCGAAATTAAATGAAACAAAGAGTATTTTCGTGGATTGTATATCCTTTACGGTTTGAGTTTTTGGGAATCAATATATTTCCAGAAAATTGGTTACATTGTTGTAAAAACGGAGTTTTAAATAGCGAATCGAGAAAAATATGTTTCAAATTTCATCAATCATTTATTTAAAGTGAAAAGTGCTGCTAGAATTTTTCGCATAGGATCACATATTTAGGTTTATATGATCTTTGATTAAAAAAGATGACTGAAACCTCTTTATAGAATTAACAATGGCAAGTTGGAATCACTACTTGTAAATTGAGTTCATTTAGTACATGATTTTCTTTTTCGTTTGAAATAAATCAAGATATAATTCGAAGAAATAAGAAAATGGGAATTTAATTTAAAAAGAAAATTTAAACAAAATTAGAACAATATATTTTAAGTTTCTATTAAATTGTATATTTATTAATATTGATGTAACAATTGGCAGTTTATATCACTAATCACGTGTTATAATTTATTGGATTTAGCTTAATCTTATAATATAATTCACTAAATTAAATGCTCCAATCAATATTTTGAATTGGGCAAAATATTTTGATCCAAAGTAATCTTAAGGAGCTCCAATTATATTTTTATATTTTATTGAATAAAATACAAAAAATATATTATTTAATTTGAATTTAAAATTTTTTATGAGAAAAATATCAACGATTTAATTAAAAAATAATTATATAAAATTATAAAATTTCTCAACTAAGTAACGGTTTGCAACTCTCCAATCCCAAAAAAAAAACCGAAGAAGAATAAATTAATAAAAGTATGGGTAAGATACAAAAATACAACTTCATTTGTGAAACCTACAAAAACGTAATTTGTCCTACCCAAAACATGGTTCATTCAATATTTTATTTTATTTTTCGTAATATTTTTAATATAATAATTTTCATTTTAATTAATTTTTTGGGATTATGGGTATTTATTTTTTTACCTATATTAATAATAAATTCATTAGTCTTTTGAATTTAATATTTTATGTCACTAAAGTTAAGTAGTTTGGAAAAGAATTATAAATAAATTAAACTATTAATTAAAATTAATTTTATAATTTAAAAAATTTGTAATTTCATAAACCATCGTATTAAAAAAAAATTTTTAAGTATTTAAGAAATTAGATATAAAAGTAATTTTCTAGAAATTTATACACACCAAACACGTGATTTGTACTATTTAGTTTAAATTCTATCCCAAAAACTTGCATCTCTAGAAAAGTAAAAAATAAATAAATTCTAACCCATATATATATATATATATTTATACATATATATAAAATTAAATTCTAACCCATTTATATATATATATTTATACATATATATAAAATTAAATTCTTTACCCATTTATATATATATTTATACATATATATAAAATATTCATTTTTATTTCCTTTCCTACAGTGGTGTGGACCCAGTGGACCCCATTTACACGTGAAATGGAGCTATAAATACCTCACTACTCATCCTTTCCTAGTCAAATTCTGAAAACCCTAGACCCCGAGTGGACCCCACAATCACCGCCAATGCCGAACCGACCAACCAAAACCAAACCCACCACAAAACGCGCCACCCAGCCCCGCCGCAAAGACCGCCACCTGAAGGTTGACGGCCGCGACCGCCGTGTCCGACTCCCAGCCGTTTGCGCCGCTCGCATCTTTCAACTCACTCGCGAGCTCGGCCTCGCCTCCGATGGCCAGACCGTCGAGTGGCTCCTCCGCCACTTTCAGAACACTCGCTTCCCCTCCTCGGTTTCTTCTACTTCAACTCAAATCCCATCTGGGTCTGCTTCTGCTACCCCTGCTTCGATCAGTTTCAATGTTCCGGCTCAGGCCACCGTCTCTCCGGCAATTGGGTCCACCTCTGGCTCTGTTGATTCTCCCTCTTTCGGAGGTCTGAATTTGACAATGGGGATCACCAGGAGCCCATCAGTGGAGATCAACAGCAGGGAGATCAACAATGGTGGAAGTGGTGGTTCGCTGGGGTTGCTTCCTGGAGGAGATATGTCTTTCACTTCGTTGCCGACGAAGGTGGAGGAGAAGGCCGACAAGGGCACCATGATCTTTGGTTGCCGTTTGTTCTGAGATGTTCGTTCGGATTATCATATGTATTTACTTTGTTTATGTTATATTACATGTTGCATGTTTCATGTTATCGCTTGTTTCAGGGTTTTGATCATCATATAGTTTGGATCATGACCAGTAAAACACAGAGGTACCTTTTATGTGTACTCTCCTTCAGTTGGTGTATGTATGTGATAATAATAACAGTGCATATATCCGTTCGATGTTTGGGAAAACATTGAGATTTTCAAGTGTGTGTGTATATATATTTATGTACGTATACAGTTTTGTCTTTCTTCACTAGCCTCGAGGTAGATATGCGTGTAAGAGCACAACCAATTTTCAAACAATGCAAGAACTATTCTCAAATTCCTCAATTGGATTAAAAAGTTAATAATAAACATATAACAAAAATCACTCCCCAATCAATACCATAGCATCAAGTGTGAGCTTCACTATATTGGAGTTTCAAGTATTGATTAGTAATGATCATCAAGACAATTCAAAGTTTCATTATTATAAAAAAACATAAATATATTTGAAAAGATGTTATAAATAACCTAAACAAACCAACAGTAAAAAAAAAAAAGTATTTATAACAGAGTACCATGAATGATAAATTCAATGATTCAAAAAAAAATTCTCATCATAAAACATCTATATCAAAATATGCACATAACTGATGACTCTCACAGAAAAAGAACAAAACCAATCGAACTTTGTAGAGATCAAAATCTAATATCAATCCATGTATTGAATTTACTACATTATCACTTGAAAGTAAAGTCTATGACCAAGCAATACACTAGTGTTTCCTACCGTGAGTAAATAGTATAGTGCACTTGCATTATATGCCCTAGTCATATGCAAAAATTTTACCCTATTAATTAATGCTCAATCTTATTAGTCACTGAATTAACAACAAGTGAAAAGTTATCACTTTTTACCAAGATAATGTCACATTTGGGTCACTCTTTTCTATTCATTTAATACCTCTAAATCCATGCATATGATTAGAGATCAACTGAAAAGCTTCTCTATATCCAAAAGCTTTATCATATTATAATCAACAAACAAATTTTTTTATAGAATATACAAAAATTTATGAATTAGACACTCTGAGTCTAAAATTTATGACATGTCCATTGAATTATCCAAAAAACAAAAGTTGTTTTCTTGGAGATGATTATGAATGTTGTTAATGATGTATTTAATACATTTTTCTTTCAAACTAAAAAGAGGCCCATGAATATATTTCATCATGTTGTGGGTGATTGGGGGATAGTAACAAAAGTTATAAACAATAGATTTAGAAGGAAATCTACAGGGGGCATATATATGCATTATTTACTTAATAGATTTGATCTATGTTTTTTTCTTTGGGTTTTTGTTGTCGGTTTTATTTAGTAAGTTGTAATATTTTTTGTTGTTAATGTCTTTTTAGTACTTTTCAATAGTTACTACAGTTGCTAGTAATAATTAGTAAAACCTCTTATTTAGTAAAAATAAATCATGAGATATGTATTTAGTCAATCATTATATAGCAATTGAGTACATTTCCTATGCTACCTATACCTCACAATAGTCCCATATTTATATTCATCGAGATTTTCAACAAAGATGAAGAAACATATAAATCAAAGAATTTAGAGAGAGAGAAACAAATCATCTTAAAATCATTATGCTAACCAAATCTTAATAAATAAAACCTTTGAAGATTTCATAGAAAACACTACTTTATTTCCAAAAACTCTCTTATGCATCACAAATAAGATAAACCAACTATAATATAAAAAAAACACTAAGAATATATAAGAAATTCTCATAAGAAGAAAACCAATAAAAGCCTTACCCCCATTAAATACTCTATAATGAACCATTTAACTTCCTACAAAACCAAACATATAGATCATCATAAAGATTAGAAATAAAAAGAATTAAAGAAAACATGATCTTCACTCTCATTAGCAACCCTGCAAAAGGAAACCTATCAAGGATCTTTAACAATAACAATATTATTCAGAGAATAATAAATAATAACATCTACATTTACAAAGTAAGTTAAGATCAGTACACTGATATACCAATATGCATATCAAATATAATGACAAAAAGAGTAATACTTAATTTTTTCAACACAAACTAATGGTTTAGGAACCAAAATTTAAAGAATGATTCTAGTTGTTTGAATATAGATGTAAGAGAAAAAAACAACAATGTAATTAAATACAAGTAACCTTGCACGATTAGCCTGTTCTATGGCTTGTTCCTTTTTCTTTTTTTCTGTATCTATTGCTACTATTGTTTATTCATTTGAACCAGTTTTGGGATCTTTATTAGTTTTGTTTCTCTATGTTCCACTGCCTAGGTTGTATACTTGGTGTAATTTTGGTTTGTTTCCTAGTAGCTAAGGTTGAGTTTGTGTTTATTCTATATCTATCAATAAAGTCCATCTTTTACCGTTTGAGAAAATAGATATAGAACCATAAAAAAGAAATCAAAATTCATAAAACCTTGATTTGTAAACTAAGCTATTAGTCCAAAACATGATGGATACCTAAGTCATATCAATTGAAAACTTTAGGACAAGGATAACTATTATTCTAAAACAAATCTAATTGTTGGAAAATTTAGAATTCATCTTTGTATTCATTAGTATCAAATAGATACTCAATATAAAGTATTAAATAGATATTCAATATATATATATATATATATGTGTACGTATATATATTATTGATGGGTGTGACATTAAAACAACTCTAGATAAAAAGATATCCAAAATTCAATATCAAAAAGACAAAAAAATCAAAAAGATTGTATCAATAGCAAACCATTGTAAAAGATAACATTAAGAACATAAATTTTTTAATGAAGAATGGTAATCCATGAAGATTTTAAACAGTAAGAATGGAGAAAAAATCAAATCTAATATTGATTACATCTATATATATAACAAAAACCACTAATCATGACAATAAGGAGATTTTCTTCAAATAGTGGTAGTTAGCTTTTCTCAGATCCCAATTTTTATAGTCAAATCATAATAAATTATGAGAATTTTATTTAAGAAAAACATATAAAAGAAATAAAAATTAATCAAATTATAATAAATTACTAGGAAAAAACTCACCAATTTGATAATGAGGTAAGATCTTCGTAGATCTGCACATAGATAGATACAACATACAATAATGATGAAATACGCTCAAAAACATAATCTGTGTAAAACATCGACCATAAAACCATCACTGGAAGCAAATAATAACTAGAAAGTAAAGTGATCGGCGCATAAGATCATATATTCAAGACAAATTATCAATCCATAACAAAGGAGGAATAATAAAAAGTAGAGAAATAGAAAAAAATTGATTTCAATTCAAGAGAAATACATACCTGATTGAAATCCCAAAACGAGGAGGTCGACAGAAAAACCCTAATTACTAGTCAAGAAGGAATAGGGAGAGATAAAGAAAAGAAAAAGAAAATCACGAAAACGTGTTATGTCAACGCGTTTTCTCTCTTCTTCGTGCTAGAGCAATATATATATTAACAAAACGACGTCGTTTTAATCAAATAAGAAAATTATTAAAAAATATAAAATGACATCATTTTTAATTTTGAGAAATTCGAGAGATAAGACCATGTTATGGGATCATGACTCCGCTCTAACAATTATTCTTTAAAATTAATTGGTGTTTTATTATATATAAAATCCAACAATTATGCACAAACAAAGGAAAATTTAAAAGGATTCATG